CACGCGCGCGCTATGCGGTGGCGCACTGTGTCCTTGGGTGTTGCCCCTCCTCGCCCCGCGAAAGATGCGCACCAAAGGATACTCGGGCGAAGGGTCACTCTTACGTGTAGCCGAAGGCATCCTCTGGACACTCCGAAGGCCTCCCAAAACGTTAGATTTGTGGTTGCCATGACAATGGACACTTTAACGATCCCATCATTGAACTAAAGATGTGTTTAACATGTGTAGAACATGTTCTAAGCATGTGTCAACATGTTGAAACATATTTGGAACATGTTTGAAACATGTTTTGCACATCTGGGAATAATCAGGCAGCATATCAGGCAGCACGCTTTCTTTCCATTGATCGTCCTCCACAGGGTCAGATGTTCGCTCTGGGGGTATTCCTGCAGCCACTCGCTCCACGCGTGCGTGGATGCTGCACCCATCGCCCGCCGACCGGAATCGAGCTTGCCTCGAACCGGAGTCGACGTACAGTCAACCCGTGTAGTGAGGATGCGCGGCGAGGGTGCCAGGGCCTTGGAGGGCCGCGCGGGCGCTTTTCGCACGAGGCCGGCCAGCGAGTCGCCAAGGGCGGGTCGAAGGGGCAAGGATGCAAGGGTACCCCTGGGAACAAGGAAAGGCGACACCAACACCAACAGGGCGAGGAGATGAGAGGGGGCAAGGGGAACTCCCTGGTGGTGTGGTCCCCGTCTCTCGCTCGAGACATCCCCAGCCTCCAGCTCGGAGAGGCATAGTGGACCTCCTCGCTGGCGGTGGGCCCCCTGGTGGTGTTGTTATCGCTTCTCCTCCCCCCGATACCCCTGGGAAGGGTGCGCATCCTTACTGTGCGGGTTGACTGTAGAGGCAACGCAGAGTCGAGCAGATCCGTCAAGCGGGCACCAGGAGGTCCCCCAAACGAGCATCGAACAACGGCTTCCCTCCCCCCAAGCGCGGACCCGCCCCTCCGGTGGCCGCCGCTGCGGAGAGCCGCACGGGGGCGGCCACATATGCCATCCCGCAGAGGGGTGACGGCCGCGGAGGTGCGCCGGGGCTGGACGCCAATGGGTGGGCTATCGGGCCCCTATCGGCGACGAATGGGCGAGTGGGGGTCTGCCTGGAGTGCTTCTGGCGAGCCGCACAGTCTTGTCCAGGGAGTGGTGGACGAAGGCAGCCGCAGGCCAGAGGGAGGAGCAGCGGCAGACATGACAGGCCGTGAGGGTGAGTCCACGAAGGCAGTATGCGTCATCGTGGAGGGCGGGAGCTTCTGTGCGCGGCGGGGATTCATCTCCATATCCAAGGCCTGGGAACCGACGTCCTGGTGCCCCAGCGGGCGGTGGATATGGATATATTTCGGCCTCCGGGGGCCCGAATATGTCCATATCCACTGCCTCCCGAGGCTCCGAAAACTGACCCTCCAGGCGGTGGATATAGATAAATTCCCGCCTGAGACTGCAGAGGGGCTCGAACGTCGGGGGTGTCCAGGACGGGCGTCCAAAAGGGAGGGGGGGGGTCCAAGAGGGGGCCGCCTCTTCATGGAGAGGGAGGCGTCCAAGAGGGGGGGCGCAAATCATGGAGAGGGGGGCGTCCAAGAGGAGAGGGGGGCGTCCAAGAGGGGGGGGGGTCCAAGAGGGGGGGCGCAAATCATGGAGAGGGGAGCGTCCAAGAGGGGGGGGGTCTCAAAGCACGGCCCGAGGCGCGTGCGCGGCCCAGGGGGGAGGATGGCAAGGCGCGTGTTGAGATCAACGGCGAAGGCCAGGACCTCGTGGCAGCTGTCGTGAACTCGGCCATGAGATCCTCCCCGAACTCGTCCACGACACCATGGACGGGTTCGGGGAGGATATGATCTCATGGACGCCTCAAGGTTGGGAGGGCCAGTCCATGATATCGTGGACTCGGCCATGATATCATGGACTGGCCCGCCCTGCGTCTGGACACCCCAGAGGCAGCAAGCAGCGCAGTCAGCGAGGCTTGCGAGGGCCACGGCACGGCAGATGCCAGCTTTTTTTTGTCTCCCACGGGCGCGGCGAGAGGGCACAGGGCGGACGGCACGTCGCAGGATCGGGGGCAGAGCGGCGCGGCACCTGCCGAACGTGGAGGTCCACATGCACATCTGACCAAGCGCAGCACTCGATCATGACTGGCACTGACTGCTCGGACCCTCCGTGCCTCCGGTCTCCCCTGCCGCCCCCCTGCCTCTCATCGCTTGTCCGCCCTCTCATACGCCTGTGCCCCCCCAGATAGCCACAGCCTGCCGCGACTTCGCATGATTCTGCTCCTGCCGTTGCTCCCGCCAGTATGTAGCCTGCCTCTCGCCCCTCACTATCATCGATATCCTCGTCACTCCTTGCCTCAACCTCTCTTCTCATCCTACCTTCCACACCTCTGTGGTCCGATACCCATGCACACCTGTCTCTCTATCTCTCTCTCTCTCTCTCTCTCCCCCTCCTCTTTCCCCACCCTCCCGAGCAGGTCCCATTCTTTCTTCCAAGTGCATGGACATGCGAACTGTAACCGGAAACGATTGCTGCAATGAAAACGTAGAGGCACATGTACGTGTGACGGTCGGTGTGGCAGATCAGGTCACAGAAACACGCATGATTCTACGATGTTTCAGCTGGCCCGTGGCATCACATTCACAGAAACTGGAAACGCATGACAGACGTTGTACGGCTGGTCCTGATTCTACATGGGCGTCGCAATGTTTGTAATTACTGGCCCCCGCGATAGCTCAACTCCAGAGGTGAAGGTGCTGGGACATAAACTAAGCGAATGCGGCTTCACGCAGCACCGTGTCATGCAAGGAGCCCAAGCTTGGGAACGCACAGAAGAACGTACAGCCATGGCTTCGCCAAACTACCTCACATACCGAATCTGCAGTGTCTCTCAGGAAGCAAATGCCCAGGGGCGTGCCCGACCCATGCGCAACAACTGGCAACATCATCGGGCCCACTCATAACGAATTAAAGGACACGCTGACCCTTCGATGAGCAATATGGTAAAGTAATGGATTGCGCGCCCTATGAAATCTATGCGAGGCGATGCCGGCTGAACGTTAACTCCAAGCGTAACGCGTCACTCCATTGCACCTCCAGGACCTCACGGAAGGCCACAGGGAGGGCGAGATCCTGTCCGGGTCCGCTTAGGACGCTGGACCTCCCAGGAGTTCACGAAAGTGGCGACAGTTGAGCAGTTGGCAGCCAGGGAACCTCTGACCTACAACCGAGTTGCGTTGGCGCAATGGGCCGAATGCCACTAGATCCACCGCCCCCTGTGGCTTGCCACAGGGGTGCACAGCGTGCCGAGTGTTGGGTTAGCTGTTTGTCCTCATTGAAATTTCCCAAATGCCTTCGGACTCATGCGCTGGCCACCCGGAAGGACGCGTAAGGAGGGGACAAACGGGACAATTCATCTTAAGACGCTAAGATGGCCCCCAAGATGGCCTCCAAGACGGCCAAGATATCCTCCAAGACGGCCAAGATGGGCCCAAGACGGTCCCATCACGCCCTGAAGACGGCCACGATGGCTCCAAGGCAGCCCAAGATGCCCCCCAGAGGGCCCACGAGGCCCCCCAACCGCCCTACGGCAGGTTCGTGTCGTGCCGACCCCAGCGTTGGTTTTTGACACCGCAGGGATTGTTCAACCTTGAACGATCGGCCGTTTCCGCAACGTCCAATCGTTCAACATCGATCGATTCTGGGCCGCCGCCGGCGTTCAAAATTGAACGCCGCTGGCGGGGTCGCCGCCGGTCGACACGACACGAACCTACCGTATACGGCTCCAAGAGAACCTCCAGGATGCCAAAATCATTGATCACACCACGATTTGAGATGACCTCCGCGTGCTCGCCTTCTCGGGCTTCCGATTCTCTCCACGACGGCCCCCCGCAGGCCCCACAGATCGTTCCAAAACACGGCGGCCCCAGAGAGAGATCCGCGAGACAGCCCAAGAGGGCCCCAAGAGGGCCCCAAGACGGCCCAAGAGGGCCTCAAGACGGTCCAAGAACGGCCTCATACGGTCGGACCTAGGACAGAAGAACATCCCTCAAGAACTTGAGACCCTCCGCCAGCCCAACCACACAGAACATCCAAGGGTACCCTCCCCAGGATGCACAAGAGCATCCAACAAACACGAAGAACACTAGGGTACCCTCCCCGAACCGACCTCGATCTTATACCTTGGTTCGGCTGTAGACCTCCAAGACGGCCCGAAAGCGCCGACACAGGGACCGGTGATTGAGAGGGCGCCAAGTCGGCCTCCGAAGGCCAAGAGGTCCCCTAAAGGCCCCCAGGAACCCCCAAGAGGCCTCACGAGGCCTCAGGAGGCCCGTAAGAGGCCACTCGAAAACCTCCAAGAGGCTCCCGGGAAGCTCCCGGGAAGCCCAAAAATGGCCTCGAGAGGCCTCCTTGTCCTCCTCCTCGTCCCCCTCCTCGTCTTTATACTCCTCCCCTTCCTCCTCGCCCACCTCCTCCTCGTCTTCCTTCTCCTCCCTCGCCTCCTCCGCTCCCTTCTCTCCCAAGTGAGGGATTCCACAACAGCTGAGGGAACACATAGTCCAACAGCTTGGTTAGACCTCGGCCCAACGTCTGGCCGCATGGGCATTTCCAGAGGCAGGGGGGGGGCCGTGATTCGCCGCAGGCGACTTGGATGTTACAAGCCTACATAACATGTGCAGATCATAGTCATGTGCAACATCTGCATGTCATGATGGGTGCAGGTGACCTGCGCTGAAATACTACCGAGCCCTCCCACGTTCCTCGCCCAAGAAACTAGACACGCGGTGTCTTTCCTCGCCCAACCGTCTGGGCCAGACCAGCGCCCCGCCCCCGCTCACGCCCCGACTTGCTGACTTGCTGGACTCGTGATGATTAGGCGACATCCAGAGCACACGACCCTCACATCTCTCTCTCTCTCTCTTTCTCTCTCTCTCTCTCTCTTTGTTTTCTCTCTCTCTCTCTCTTTCGCACTCTCTCATCTCCCTGTCTGTCTGTCTCTCTCTCTCTCTCGCTCGTTCCTTCTGCCTCCCCCCCCTCTCTGTGTAGACCCGCACACAGCATAGAATCCCTCTGCGCATGGACCCGGCTCACTCCGCGCATGGCCACCTGCTCAGATCGAGGCGCCCTCCCAGTGGGACCAGAGCGCGATCTCCTGGCGGGCGGCACGCCTCTGAGAAGCGGGAGATCGGGACGGCTGCCCAGACATCACCGCCGGCACACGCGGCAGCCGAGGGGGCCGTGCACGCGATCAAACCAGGACACGCGGGGGCGGGCTCGCCTCCGAGGTACAGCTCTATCGTGCGCTGCCATACGGTCGCACCGCGGCGAGCCTCTGCCAAAGAATGGGCTCCCCGACAGAGATGCAGGGAACGGCCCGTCAACCTCACAGTCAGGGCGTTGACCTAAGGAATCCGAAATAAGGAACGAGGCCCCATTTGTCCATAAGTGAAGCTTCGATTTCACATCGAAAGCCTGAAGAAAAACCTTGGGCAAACTGTAAAACAATCAGAGCACCGAGCCCCTTTCAAACGAAAAGGGATCCTTCTTCAGGGCCCAGCTGTAGCACTCCTAGGCCCAACGTGGTCCATACTTCCTCGTTCTGGCTGCACTCTTTGCGTGCGCGCGAGAATCCGCCACCTGTGCCCTGGAGGCACGAGTTGGAGTCTCCGCAGGTCCTTGCTCAATCCCCTGGAGACTCAGCCCTCAATCCTGAAGATTTGGAAAACAGCCCACACCTCAAGGGTCCTGAGATTCCCCGCGTCCACTTTTGCGGAGCGTCGCTCCGCTAATTGGCCGCAAACCAAAACCTCTGGAATGCTTGCCCCCAATTGGCGAAGCGCCGCTCCGCTAACTCAGCTAATTAGCCTCGAACCCAAGGGATTCGGATCGTCTCGCTCCAATTAGCGGAGCGGCGCTCCGCTAATTGACCTCAAACCATGCTCTCGTTAGCGGAACGCGCTCCGCTGATGGGCTGAAACACCCCGATCCGCCAACCGCATTACAACCCAGGCACGGTCGTCACAACTTGAGTCATCTCGTCTTTCCAAGACGGCCCAACAGGCTCCCAAGAGGAACCCTGGAGGAAGAACCCGAGCTGATACACAGCCCCTCAATTTCATCGTCAATTTCGGGCAGCCCGCCGAGTGCCCCAGCGCAGAAATCACGGCATCACGAGGAGGACGAGGATGGCGAGTCGCGATTCAAACAAAGCACCGTATCCTGCCGACATCCTGTATCGTACGCTGGCGTGCCGAACCGCGGGCACCTTGCAGCGCGCCTCGGGAAGCCTGGTGCACTTCGAGCTCCGCACCGCATTCCGAACCCGACAACACGCATCAAGGATCAGACCAATCGATACCGCGCACGAAGCGAATCATCGAGAGCACCATGAGACAAAGGGGGCAAACGCAAAGGTCCGCCCAACGCCTCGGATCATATTTCGGAAACGCCTGAATACGCGTGGCTCGAATTAACACATGGGCGTGATTAAAAGTGGGCTCTTTTTTTTGGGGGGGGGGCATAACTCATGTATCGGCTACGATGCTTCCAAATGCTGTTATGGCATGGGGGGGTGCTCCCATCAGTGCCGTTGTGATGTGGAGCTGGCTGCACCAAAATACCATCTGTGCTGCTCTGGACAAAGCAGCGCCTGAGTCCCCCAGTGACAGTGAGCACACAGATGCTTATGGCAACCACATCGCAAAGCTCCTGTCTCATCCTTCCACCCTTTCCTCCCTCCAACTGGTCTCAAAAGTTGCAGTGAGGGTGAACTGGACGAATTCGCACTTGGATCTGCAATAGGAGTCGAGACTGATGCGACCACAAGCGCATGTCTTCCAAGAAAGTCGTTTTTTACCTCTTGGATTCGGCCCGCGCTGGATAAATGCCACCTGAGTCCAGCAACGCCTGAGCACCACTGTGACTGTGAGCACGCTGCCGCCTGTGAGCGCCACATTGCCAGTGAACGTCAGGCACGCAGAGCACAGCAATATCGATAACCCCTGGAAGTTGATCGATGCACGCTCGTCCCTCATGCATCCACCCAGCCTCCCTCCAACTTTTTCCAAAAGTTGCAGCGAGGATGGATTTGCGATAGGAGTCGAGACTGCTAGACGACAATGTTTTGACTGCTGGATTGGGCCTCGAAGCCGGGTCAACACTATCTGAGTCGAGCAAGCCTGAACACCACTGCGGACAAGCAGCTCAAATACGCAGAGCACAATAATATGAGTAAACGGATAGTTGAGCGATGCAAGCTCCTCCCTCATCCTTCCCCCACGCATCCCTCCAAGTTGTCCCAAAAATTGCAGCGAGGGTAAACTGGACGAATGTGTATTAGATTTGCGACAGGAATCGAGACTGTTGCGACACACGCGCATTCACTGCTAAAAGGCCGTGTTCTGACTGCTGGATTGGGCCTCGGATCCAGGGTCAAACCAAGAAAAAACACGACTTGGCAAAAAACGGAAGAATCCAAATATTTTGGTTTTCCAATCGGATCTGGGGCCGAACGAGCGACACAAGCAAAAAGTAGCCCCGACCGGGGGTTTGGTTCGTAAATGCACGTTTTCGGGGGTGACAGCAGGATGTCCCCATGGAAGGGTGGCGTTGTCTCCCCCCGGCTCGTTCCCCTCCCGAGGGGGGGAAGCGCCGCCCCGGGGGCCTCTCCCTGCTGAAGGGAGAGCGGTCGGCCAGACCGAGACGCGGCTAAGCGTGGCCGGCGGCGAGGCGCGAACACATATCGTCGTCGTCGTCGTCGTGGTCGTCGTCGTCGCGGCCGTCATTGTCTGGAGCGGGGCACACGCCATTTTGCAAACGATGCCCCGCGCCATTCTTTTGTTTGGGACCTGTGTAGGCCAGGTTCCAAGCGTAGTGTCAAGGACGTCTCAACCGAAAGTCTCGATTTCCAATTGTTCGGAGCTGGCTTCTATGGTTTGGAACCGCTTGAAAACCGTCAAGAAAGCCATTTTGGCGAGGACGACCCACGCCATCCCACTGTGTGGAACCAGGTTCAAATCGTATTTCGAAAGGTATCTCAAGCGAAACTCTCGCTTCCCAATCATCTGCAACCGATTTCTATGGTTTCGAACGGGTTTGGAACCGTCAACAGAAAATGTTTGCGGAGATGTCCCACGCGGTTTGCCGTTTTCGAAGCGCCATCCTGTTGTTTCGAACCAGGTCTGACGCGTGATGGTGGAGGACGTCCCGCGCGAAACGCTCGTCTTCCTTTTGTTTCGAACCAAATCCGATTGTTTCGAACCGAGTTCGAACCGTCAAAACAACCATTCGGTGAGAATGTATGGCCACGCGGTTCGCCGTTTTCGAACCGCCATCCTGTTTAGCTTCATATCATTTTCATTGAGGTACCACAGATTGCCCCCCGCCCCGGTTGCGAAGCACCTCCCCCGTAACATTGTACCAGGCTCCACGTCCCTAACGGGGCGACTAGCGACGTGTGCTCACCTTGCGGACGCAGGATGCACTTTTGCCGACCCGTCAAAATAGGGCAACCTTTCATCACAACACGGCAGAAACGGTGAAGACTGGGTCGCCCAAATTGGCAACGGTGTAGGCGTCACCTACGAGGATCGACCTACACAATACTACCATCGAATCTAACATCTCCGATGTATAATGAGCAACGTAGCATGTAGCTGCAACACGGTCCCAACAAGTTGCAGCATCTTCCAATTTATACCAACACTGTCGATCCAGGGAAAAGTTACTACAGAAAAAGCTGCATAAACATTAACTGCTGGAGCCCCGCCAAGATTTTTGGCATCTGCGCCAGAGGCGCCGCCCAGGGGGGCCCAGCGCAGATCCAAGAAACATGCGCGGAGAGCCAAAAGTTGTGTTTATGCAGTTTTGACTTCTTCGGTTCCTGTGCCCATTCAGGAGCAGCTGCGAACACTTGTCTTCATCGACAACTCGGACTTCCTCCGGAACTCCCATTGTGGTGGAGGTTTTAGGACCCCCACTCGTAAAAATTGAGGCGAGACCGTGCCTGCCTCAACGTGTGTGGCGGCATCCGGGCTTTGCCTTCTAATTCAAGTGCCACTCCGAATGCCTGCCTCCTCCTCCTCCTCCTCCTCCTCCTCCTCCTCTTCCCCCTCCTCCCCCTCATCTCCTCCTCCTCCTCCTCCTCCTCCTCCTCCTCCCCCTCAGAGCTGGTGGAAAATCGAAGCCATCTTTGAGTTGTCGGCGTCGGCTGCCACCTCGAGGAGGCGCGGGGGAAGGCATCAGGATTGAGGGATCGACCACAGTGTATCGCCGATTGCTGGCAGCGTGCTGAAAGTGGCACCGAGAGACGGAGGCGCCCGTGGTCTTCTATCGGGCGGTCTCCCAACAGCACGGCTCTCTCGTGCGAGGCTCGAGTGCGCGTGAGGCGGGCATGCACACATGAAGGGAGCGCAGCGGAGGAGGGAAGAGGACGACTACCTCTCTGACAGCCCGCAGGAGAGCGCGGCTGGTAGCAGGACAAGATCGCTGTCATGATACGTCTGGCTCAGGATTGGATTCTGGGAGCTCCAGAGTATCTAGCGTCTAGCGGCCCGCGTTCGTGACGCCCATGCGGAGCATTCTAAAAGAAATCAAGAAAGATTCCTGGAAGCCTCTGGCCGGCCCGACAGTGCGCTGGCCGACGGGCCACGTCAGGGCTCCCCCAGCGGGGACACTGATAATTACAGTGGGACACTGGCGCGCCTCAGAAAACTGCAGCCGTGAGTCGAGACGGTCTCCATTCTTCGCCCTCTCCAGGCGGAGTTGAAGGGGCCCAGGGACACACAAATAAATACACACAAATAAAAGGATTCCCCATATTTTCTCGTATTTTCTAGGTTGTGTACTCCCCCCCACTTCCCATATTTTCCCATATTTTCCTGAGAGTCGACGATTAATGGTGTCTGTGTGTTTCTTTCCCTCCTGAGGAGTGCTCAGAGTCCTGGTCAGCAGTGTCCTGGCTGGGGGCCCCTGGCCACGGCCACAACACCTGGCCGGCCGGCTCCGAGCCGGCCACGCGCCGCGGGTGCAGCGCCACCGCCTCGCGGGGGCCCCGCTCCAGGAGCCGAGAGGCCGCCGTGGCTCTTCTCGCGTCGGGCCGCGCGCAGCAGCTGCGGTCGGGCACTCTTGCCCAGCATGTCGCGGTGGCGGCCGCGGCGACACGCCGTGCCCTGCGAGTGGACCGCGCGTCGCTCCGCTCCGCGTGCCGGGAGGCCACGAGAAGCTCAGACCCTGGGCGCCTGGGGGCCGGGGGGTGGACAGCGCGTCGCGACGAAGCGCGGTGGGCCAGGCCCAGCGAAGCGACGCGCCAGCCCAGGGTGCCAGACCGTAGCCCGTCGCTTTCCTCATGCGCGCGGCGATGGGATCCCAAGGCTCGTTTGCGACAGGCGTCGAGTCAGTACGCTGTCCTGGGAAAACCGGCTGACGAGTTTGGAACGAACTTCCACCAGGGCATCCTCTTGTGCTCGGACAAGGAGCATCATGTGTAGGAAATAGGCCAGGAGGGCGCAGGTGATCATTACCAAAAGTAATGCTGTAGCGCCGAAGTCCTTTGTCCTGAAGACTACAACCTCGAGTACATACGTGACTGCGATATCGAGGGAGGCCGCCAAGTGTGCCGACAATGCGCCACTGACCATTACCATCACGTCGAGCCAAATAACTTTCAGCTCTGGGACCAAAACTCCACCAATCACAACTTTGTAGTCCCATCCATGTAGCATGCCCTTGTCAAGAAGAAAACTTGGCTCGAAGGTCAGCGATACAAACATGAGCACCACTGCTTTGGAGAGCTCCGCTACAATAAGACAACGGATTCGTTCCGCACCCGCGTCCTCTGTGTCCGCCATACGTCTGACCGAAAGATACCCCATCAATGTGTCAGCAAGGGCATAGAGCATCGCTGACAGCACGGTGAAGATGACACCCAGAAGGCTGACGTCAGCATCGTCTGACAATGATAACACCATGTGCAAACAGATGCCCACAAGTGCGTTTACAATAGTCAGCAGCTGCAGAGCATCTGCTGGACACTTTTTATAGGCAATCGCCTCCATGATGAGCAACGGACAAACTGCAAACTTTTGCGTGACGACAAACAGCAGTGCATCAATGTTCGCGAGAGCCACATTTTCAGACGCAAACAGTGAGGCGCGCAAGATGCCCATGCCACACACAAGCATATACTGTTTGTGAATCAGCTTTCGCGCGGCGTCGACGCCGTGCCTTGCCAAGAGCACCAGGCTGCCCAGCCCAGCTCCGATGAGCGCTGCCACCATGGGGGGCAAGAAGAGTGAAAACTCGGGCGTGCCGTTGTTTGAGGCCCACTTGAAGCTTATGGCCCTGAACGCAAGAAACACAGGCACGAGCAACAGGCCCGCTCTGCGCAATGCGTTTTTCTGCGCAATGGCCCTGTGGCTCAGCCGAGCATTGTCATCCACGAAAGCCGCGAACCACTGATTCACAGAAAACATACTGTTGTCCGTCCTTCCTGTCGTACGTCTCGCACTGTCTGCGTAGCGAGAACTTGCTACGGAGGATCTGGCTACGGAGGTACCGCGGTAACTCGGTACAACGCCATCAGCTTCTGTCCATGCCTGCTTCGTCCGTTGCCTAGGCGGTGGCGCGGCCTCTTGTAAGACGATGGCCTCACTGTCGCGTTCAGGCTCACAATCTCGCCCAGACGTGGTAGACACCCAATCCTCCTGAGCCGAGGTACTGTTGGCCGTCCTCCCTGTACTACGTCTCGCACTGTCTCCCTTGCCAGGATGTTCTATGGAGGCGCCGCGGTAACTCGGTACAACGCCTTCAGCTTCTGTCCGTGCCTGCGTCGGCCGGTGCCTGGGCGGTGGCGCGGTCTCCTGCAAGACGATGGCCTCACTGTTGCGTTCAGGCTCGCAGCATCGCCCAAAAATGATAGACGCTATATCATTCTGAGCCGAGGGTGGTATGGCGAGCTTGCGCAGGTCATCAGCTGTCATCTCGCACAGAGTCTGCAAATCAACCCCTGCCTCAAGGAGTACCGCACCATACCTAGCAAGACCCTTCTGGCGAGACAACATACCCGAATACATGCATACAATGGTTCTGGTAATCCTGAAGTGGGGGAGATGCTGCCTACGCGTGCGTACAAAAAGACCTGACGACCAACCTGCCCTGAGCCAGAATGGACATTGTGCCGAGGCCACTTATCTTCTAGTCGATACAGAACCCGGGCACCGAGTCGCAAACTGAGCTATATGCATCGCACGAACTGTATGGGACAACGCCCGTTCGATGACGCCTAAGCGGCTGTGTGCAAAGCCGGATGGCGTAATCAATACCAAGGTCTTGGACAAAGACCAGACGCGAAGCGGCAGCGGCAACCCGAAACGTACTCGGAGAAGCGGCGAATAACCACGCCAGACGACGCGGTCACGCCTCCCTCCAGACATCCAGTGCTTCATTTCTTTCGATGCGCCGCCCCCCATAGGACCACTTCCTGAGGGCTGGGTTTTCTTCCTGAGTCGTTGTTTGACGGTCCCACGGCCCGTTGAGGACCCTCGGGGGCTGAAAAAAGACCCAAGCTGGCCGCTCCAATTTTGGTCGGAGCCTCGGATCTCTGGGCCTCTGGAACCAACACCACAACATTTTACGCCTCCCTGCTATGAGGTCGACCTCTGGCTCTGGGGAGGGCACGGAGCCACGATGCCATGGAGCCAAGGGCAATCCCGCCAGCCCTCCCGGGGGCCTCTTGGCAATGGCCCTGCTTTGGGACCTCCTGGGGACCTGTGGGGCGCCTCTTGTCGGACTCTTGGAGCGCTCTCAGGAGCTCTGGAGGCTTCTTGGGGCCGTCAGGGCGTCAAGGACGGTTGCCCATGTCGGCCTTGTTTCCAGATTTGGACGGGACTGGGGCGCTCTGAGGGGCGTCTGGGGCCGTCCTCGGTTGTCTTGGCGATTCCTTGGGTACCTCTTAAAGCCTTCTTGAGTCCTCGGGAGTGCCCCAACAACCGAAGGGCGAGGAGGCACACATCATACATGTTCATGATCATTTGAAAACTTGATTCCCTCTCGGAGGCGCTCCTGGTGCGTCTTGGGATAACCTTGAGCCAGTCTGAAGGCTATCTTCGCGTGTCTGGTCAAGTCTTGTCTCGCCTTGCCTTGTCTCCTCTTGTCTTGTCTGGCCCTGCCTTGCCCTGTCTGGTCGTCTGAGGGCGTCGTGGGCCGTCTTGGAGGCGCGGGCATGCCCGCCTCATGGCAGGCGGTCGACTGGAAGGTTTCGCCAGCCTTGTTAGGGGAAATCTACGCTTGGGGGTTGCTTGGGAGCCTCTGGGGGATTCTTGTGGCCGACTTGGTGTGAACTACGTTTGCCTCTGCTCGCGTTTACAAGATTTGGACGGGCTAGGAGACCTCTTGGGCCCCATTGGGGCCCTCTTGGGGCCTTCGGGCCCTTCCGAGGCCAGTCTTGGCGCTCGATTGGGGCCCTCTTGCGGCCATCCTGAGGCCTCAGGAGCCCTTCGGGGGCCAGAATGCGAGAGACGAGAATCACATGCTCCCTTTGGGTGTTTGACAAGGTTCGGCCTGTCTGGGTCGGGCCCTTCCGAGGCCTGTCTTGGCGCTCTCTTGGGGCCCTCTTGGCAGCCCTTCGGGAGCCAAGAGGCGAGATAGGATCCGCAACCGTGCCCCTCTAGCAAGAACTGCAGTGTCCCCAGGTCCCTTGCTCCCCTGAGCCTCAGTCCTTAATCCTGAGGATTCTTCGAAAGGGCCCGGACCTCAAATTGCCGGAATTTCTTGGACGTGGCGAGTGTTCCTGCATGACGTTCCGGGCCAAGAGACCCCAAGAGCTACACGATCGGTCAAAGACGCTCAAGGCGGCTCCAAGATGGCCCAATAGCCGTTGAGACGCCCCGAGAGAAACCCGGGCCGTGTCAAGAGGGCCCCGATAAGTCAAAACCACAGATGTTCCTCACGTGTTTGGGGATCTCGACGTTTCGAGCTCACGACGCTCCAAGACGGCCGAAGAGGCCCCCAAGACCGCTCCAAGACGGCCGAAGGGGCCCTCAAGAGGCCCCCAAGAGAGCCCCAAGAGGGCCCCAAGAGGGCCCCAAGACGGCCCAAGAGGCGCTCAAGACGGCCCAAGAGAGCCCAAAGACAGCCCCGAGAAGGGCCCAAGGAGGGGAACGCGAACCGAATATCCGAGCCTTCCGCCCCAGGCTCCCAAGAGGCCCCCAAGAGCCCCCAAGAGGTCTCCAAGAGGCCCCAAAACGTCAAAACGGCCCCAAAACGGCACCAAGGAGGCTTCAAATCTGCCTCCACGAGGCCCCTAAGACCTCCCGCGACATCCCAACGAACATTCCAGAAGCCTCCGACGCAAAACCCAAGCACGGTGGTGGGATGGTACGCGTATGCGGTGCTTGGGGCGTGCGCGGCATGCCAAATGTATGGCAAGGGTTCGGTTCTTTTCTGCAGAACTCCCCCTGGGGCTTCGGCCCAGGCCGCCGGCCACGCACAAAAAGCACCTCCCGTCGGCTTGTTCGCATAAGATGGCTTCAAGATGGCCTCCAAGACGGCCAAGATGGGGCGGCCAAGGGCACCCTCTTCCACCGGCAGTTCCGCTGCGATGCGACAGCGCGCTGGAGGCAGGACGCGCCGCCCGATCTGCTGGCCGCGGCTACTTTCCTGGAGCGGCAGGGGGAGCCCTGGACGGAGCTGCTGGCGCGAGGGCTCTTCCCCGAACCCCTGGACGCCTTCCAGCTTCCGCCCTGGCAGCCTGAGTGGGCATGGCGGGCCCGCAATTGGCCGCCAGACGGACTGGCTGCTGATGCCGGGTGGCGGGTGTTCACGGGTGGTAGCTGCTTGCACGCCGACATGCCAGCGCTGCGCACGGCGGGCTGGTCAGTGGTTGTGCTGGACGCTCAAGGGGCAATCGTGGCGGAGGCCTGGGGCAGGGTGCCGCCATCTTTGGCGCCTTCGCCAATCGGCCCGCGATGGCGAGGATTTCGCGGTGGCCCAGGCAGCGCGGTGCATCCTGGGGGCCTACGTGCTGGCGATAGATTGCAAGGCCACGGTTGCTTGCGCCAGAGCGCCTCGCTGGGCGGCGAGGCCGAGGGCGGCCAAGGGGCACCCGTGGCTGGGCATCAACGACAGCCTCGACGAGGTGCAGATGGTCAAGGTGGAGTCGCACCTGGGCGAGCAGGCGGTCCGGGACGGGAAGATCACGGCGATTGACCTTTTCGGCAATCGCATAGCTGATTTCTGGGCCAAGCAGGGGGCTGGCCTGGGCAGGGCCAAGGAGAGGGACATCCTGTTGGTCACGGCGTGCTGCGAGATGGCACGGTACGCCTGTCGCTTCTCGGGCCGCATGGAGGCGGGCCTCGCGAAGGGTCCCCAGGATACCGACGGGCTCATCTCCATGAAAGTCGTTGGCTTGGGAGAGTGGCCCGACTGCGAGGAAGATTTGGGGGGGCCCGCAGCGCCGCCCGAGGCCCCGGCAGTCTCGGCGGCTTCCCCGGCAAGCCTGGAGCGGCGCCCTGCCGTTCTCCCCGCCCGGCTCCTTCGGGACCGCGATGCGAGGCTGCCAGCAGCGGCGGATGGCGCAGCGGCGGCGGGGCAGCGGGCTGCGGAGGCTCCAGGAGAGCGAGGCGTCGCTGTGGGAGCGCACAGGCCAGCGGAGCTCATGCGCGCCACGGCTGGACGGCGGCCGCTGCCAGAGCAGGTGCTCGCCGCGCACGGCTTCGCCTGTGAGGCGGAGGCCCTGCGGCTCCGGCGCACTGGCTTGGAGCGACGGCAGGCGGCCCGCGCGGCGGCGGAGGTCGGTGACCGCACGCGGGGCCAGCAGTGCGGCGGGGCTCGCGCGCGCGGGGCTGGACGCGAGGAGGGCGGCTAGGCGAGTTTGCCGTTTTGCTCCCTCCTCTCCCCCCCTCCTCTCCCCTCCGAATTTGCTGCTGCAGGGAACGCTCCTGCCGGGGTGGCGCGAGGGGCTGCGGTGTCTCGCACAATGCTGGTTGGAGTGGAGTTTTACAAAAAAACTGCCAAGATGGCCCCCTAGACAGCCAAGATGGCCTTAAGAAGGCCCAATATGGCCGACAAATGTGACGAAGACGGCCCGAGATGCACGAACGACGGCCTAAGATTGCCTCAAAAAAGCCCGAGAAGCTCGCAAGAGGCCTCCAAGACGGCCCAAGAGGCCTCCAAGAGGATCTACAGCTAGAACCGAAAAGGACAAACTCATTGATTTGCATTGGGTTTTCGAAGGATGTGGACCGTCGCGCCTTTTCGGCTTTCCGACGGCTCCAGACGTTCCGTCATATACCCAAGATAGCCCAAAGATCGCCGCAGAGGCCTCCAAGATGGCTTCATGACAGCCCAAGAAGCTCCCACGACGGCCTCAAGGCGGTCCCAAATGGCTCCCAAGACGCCCAAGATGGCCTTTAAGACGTCCAAGATGGCCCCAAGAGAACCCAAGATGGTCGCAAAATATTTCCCAAAGACGCAATCTGTAGCCAAGGCGGGCTAAATTGGCCCCCAGATGGCCCAAGACGGCCCAAGAAGACCCAAGAGGGCCCCCAAAGGGACAAAGGGGCATCCAACATGTTCTATACAATCAGTGATACTCCAAATGTGTTCAACATTGCTGGCATTCGTTGCTGTTTGGCCTTCCGACGGCCCAGGACGGCCCGCGAGGTCCCCAAAATCGCGCCAAGACGCCCAAGAGCTCCCAAGATGGCCCAGCTCACGGCCCAGGAGGCCCCCAACGCGGTCGCAACAGGGTCCGCACACGGCCTCCGACGCTCAAGATGGGCCACGGGATGTCCCAGGTGGCCCCCGGAGAGCCCCAAGATGGCTGCAAGGTCCCTCCACGGCGAGTCGAAAGTGAGCCTGGTAGCTCAAATATGGCATATAGCCTGGCAAATTGCGTCCATCGCTCTGCTGTGAAGGTACAGTATGAGGGGTGGACGGATAAGATAGGATAAGATCGATGTAATGATCTTTCCAGCACATAGCGAACACTCGCGGTGTCCGGGCAAATAGGGCGCGCGTGCCTTGGGCCAAAGGCAACGGCGCGCGCGAGCTATGCTCCCGATACTATAACATCTCCCAAAGACCTACCCTTAAAGTCGGGAGGGGAGGAGACGGAGAGCATAGTCGCACGCAACGGTCGCGCGCACGACTGCTTGCAAA